GGGGGGGGAGGGAGAGCGGTCGTATTATTTGCATCATTGTATAATATAAGTGAACATCTTTTTGAACATCTTCGAATGATGTTGAATTTATTGTGTTTAAGCGTGTCTGCCGTATTCTACATAGAACTTATTTGCTAGCATGCGAAAATTTTATAAGGTAACCTTTGATTCAACTGGCTTGGCAGCTGGAAGGCGAGGCTTCGTGACCCAAACAGTTGAAGGGATACCTCCGGAGGGCAAATGGTGGAGGTCTGCCACTTCGTGCTCTGGGGCCCTCCCATTTCAACCATTTTGGTGCTCCGGGGCTCCTCCAAATCTGGCGCACCCCCGAAGCAGAGATTTGCGAGCCCCGGGGAGGGGTCACCGTGACGTCACAAGAAGGCAAATGGGACCCTTCCCCGGGGCTCGCAAATCTCTGCTCCGGGGGTGCGCCAGATTTGGAGGAGCCCCCCCGGAGCACCAAAATGGGTGAAATGGGAGGGCCCCGGAGCACGAGTGGCACCCTGCTGGGCAGAGCTCGGGACCCTTCCATTTTCGCTCCGGAGGTATAGCTTCGACTGTCTGAGGGCCTAATCAAGGCTAGACAACGTTCAGAGAGCACGCGTGCTAGAGAGAGACGCAGACTGCGTAGCCCGAGCGGCCTTAGTTAGGTTACATAGCCCCCCTTTTAGCCGCCAACCCAGTTAAATTAGAGTTTACCTCAAACAGTTTTCGGGGTTGGCGACCTACATCTTAAAGCCGCTCTCTACCCACAAAAAATGCAGAAAAAAATGCAGAAAATCATAGCATTTACTCGGCTAATTTCGGCTTAGTCGCCTTCGTCATAGTTTATAAAAGTTTATAAAGTGAGGATCATTAGGAATCAACCTCCCAAACACTTCATAACATACAGGGGAAAGCCCCAGAAATTGATTAGAGTCCGCTAAGGTCTAAAACTATCGGCTCACCTTTGCTGTTATCTTCATCACCAGAGTATTCAAGGATTTATAGAGTTCCTGTGATCGAAGAGATTGCTCTATCAAAGGCGGTGTTTTGTCCTTGAAGTGATTCGAGTACGAGGACAAAACGTGAGGAAATCAAGGAAAACCTCCTCTTATGCAAGTTTTTATGCTTTTGATTCTCAGAAAACACGCGATAGCTCTTAGTACGCGAATACTCGGAACATGACGTCTCATACAAACAAATGTTTTCTATCAATCGTACATTCTTAGTCACTGTCAAAAAAATGTCATGTGGGTGCGATTGCAGTTGGAGTTTGGAGTCAGAATAATAAAGGAGATCAATGCCAGGGTTTAGCAAAAATACAAAAATAGATATTGAATAGCAACATTTTACTAATATCATCATTTGAAAAAGAAAAGTCTCCGAAGACCTCGAGCTACCAAATCGAAAGAGTTAAGAAAGTTACTGGAGTTTGCATACTGAATACTGAACATATGTCGCTGCCATGACTCACTTTTACTGAACCATGAAGTCATTTTTATAGAATTGTCAAAGTTCAAAATGAGCAACTACACCCTTTTCTACAAATTTTCACGTTGTAACCACGCTAAGAATTTAAGATTTCAAATATTTGTTCGAAGGTTCTAAAGAAGACTTGCGAATTTATTCGAGTAGTAGAATTCTATTAGCCTCCCTGAATAAAGTGGCACATTTACGTACCAGTAGCGGGCCGAAGGGAAGGGCACTTCTACGAAGAGCGAACTCGAATTTTTGAAAGTAATCTAGGTTTTTGAAAGTAACCTATGTTTATATATTTGCGCAAATGGGTCTACTTTTGATGACTTTTTGGATTCAAAAATTCAAAACAGCTTTGTAAAGGAATTTTTCGGAGTAGCTGGGCTATGCCCCTTTTTGGAATTCTTTCGATATGAGCCCGCAGAACTTTCGTAAAGCATCCTAAGAATTTGTCAGGAGGGCGCCGCCTCTTCAATCGAAAATTTCTTCGCCCTCTCCCTCCACTGTTACGTATATCATTTAATTAACTCAAAGCTCTACGTTATTGAGGAAATTCGGAGAGGACAATTTTTTGTTCATAAAAGGGAAAAAAAATGAAATAGAACTGTGTAGTAAACCTTTGATTGATATTTCGAGCTTGGAGCAAAGGTCTACTTCTATTTCGGCTGAAGGATTTGTGATGAGTTTTTACCTTAGAGGGCAAAGAAGAAGAAAGAGAGAAGATATAATATGAAGTAGAGGAAAGAATGCGGGAAGTGCTACTATGATAAGCACAACTGAAAGAACATATCATATCATAATCACACCCACCTCTCCATTGCGAACGTGTCGTTCCTCGAGCAGATACCGCGTTTCTTCATACGTCGGTGGTGACATTTCTGGAACGAACTGTGCTGCACTCCCAAGCACGTCAAAAGCACACGACCAACAAACGATTCGGACAGCACAAAAGAACGATCGATTTCAGAAGCCGAGCGGGAAGCAGCGGAGCGAAGTTCAACGGGATTAGAACGGTCCGTCTAAGGCGGCGCCAGTAGAACCGTGCCGGCCGCTTGGTCCCGAACGATATCGAACGAGTGCCGTGATAGCATCGTGGCCTGTTCGGAGCGACGAGCTGACGCATCTCTTCTCCCCCGTGGTGTTTGTCAGCCCGGCAAGATGCACCGAATACATTCTTCCCGCTTCTTCGTCACATACAGTAACCCCCACTTCAATTAGGGTGTCTTATAATTTCTTGCCGTTTATACTACGACCGTCATATTTTTGTATCCTTCCTTCAGTTGGTGTGGCTTGAGTGACAGGACAAAGCAAGCTCTACAAGATGGCTATCAAGATTCTGCTTAAATCGTATTCGACGTGAAGTTTTAAGCTAAAATTTTTGCCGTCAAAAATGGTACCTTTGCCTCAGAGGTTTCAAAAATTCCCCATTTGTCCTAGCAGATGCTTCATACATCAAAAATTCATTTGTACACTTTCCGTATTATTTTCCTGACCAGAAATAAAGGTAAAAATAAATGGAGTAGAATGGCAAACTCCGCACACAGACGTCCTAAGCTCCTCCTCATAAAGCTCAGAGGTAATCATGCATTTGTACCCTTTCGGTGCCTCAGTTCTCGAGAAATGCTGATGTTTAGGGTAAAAACGAAAAAATTAGGGACACCCCTATATTAGGTGGGTCCGAAAGTTCTTTCCGTTTTTTCATCCTGTCATAAAAACACGTGGAATTAAGATGGACAAATGCCTCAAACACTTTTGAACGCAGTTTTTCTTCCTCTTTCCATCAGTTATGTTATGGGACTATTTGCTCTGGTGGTTATCAGATGATTGCCGGAATTTCGAACCCATGGTTTTACCATACCTAACTTTAACAATTTTTCAAAATCTTCATTTTGAATTTTTGGAGAAGCTTTGATAGCATTTAGATAGCGAAACAAAGTGCAATGCAGCAAATTTTTTGGCACCTATATTTTTGGCATCTTCCCAAAATTTTTGAAACTATATTTCTGATGCTATCAAATTCCACTTTTACATACCGAGCACATCTACGGTGTCATTCGATGCGTCTTTCTCTTCTCTTTCTGATAGGCGTTTTTTCTTCCCAGCTAGTGGAGTATTTAGTGATAAAATGATCATAATATTCAATTTTGAACCCGTCTCATGCCGAACCCTTAAAATGCGAGATTTGATATTTCGGAGCGGCAAACGCCCTGATGCTTTGTAAATTAGTGTGTTATCATAATCGATGTCTGAATTTCGAATTCCAACGATTTGTTAGTGTTTGGAGCGTTTGTGTATTTTGCGATTTCGCAAAAATGAAGACTTTTGAAAAAGTTATCCTAAAAGGTGCTAAGAAGCTAAGTGGAGATGCGAGAAAATTGCATTGCACTGCACTTTGTTTACACTATCTAACTGCTATCAAAGCTTCTCCAAAAGTTCAAAATGAAGATTTTGAATAACTGTCAAAATTAGGTATGGTAAAAGCCATGGGTTTGAAATTTCGGCGATTATCTCAGAAACCACCAGAGCAATTGGTTCCAAAACATGACTGCTGGAAAGAGGAAAAAAACTGCGTCGGTTAATGCTTGAAGCATTTGTCTACCTTAGTTCCACTTGTTTTTATGACAGGATGAAAAAACGGAAAGAACTTTAGGACCGACCTAATATACACACATCCTTGAAACTATGACATTGCCAAATTACGAAACCCTCGTAGGAGACTAGCGAGACAATTTCAAGGTTCCGATTTTCAAAAACTTTAGATCTCCTTTCAAGACTTTGTTACTTAGGTTAATACGTAAGTTTTGCACCAAAATTCTGGAAACCATTGTCTTTTCCAAATTCGGTGAAATCCTTTACATTGGTATCTACATAAATAGGTCAAAGTAAAAACGCCTACCAAATCCTCGATACAATGATATATGTTACAAAAAATGAATGTTGCACTTTGAAAAAAAATTCAAATATTTCTAAAACAATTTTTCTGCACGACTTATGTGTCAGTCTAATCTTCTTTTACTTCTTTTTTCCCCATAAAAACCGACCATTAACTTCAGGGAAGCAAAAAAAAGTACATAGCAGAAGTAATGACAACAATTTCGAAGTCAATCTCAATCTTGCTGCAAAACACCTACCTGCTATAAACACTGAAAGTAAGAAAAAATCCAAAAATTTCTCCTTTTCCGAAAGCAAAAGCAATTTCAGTCTCGCTCCCTATTCAAAGCAATTATCAGTGATAATTGCTGGCTTGCTGCAATCTGTTCAACTTTTGTGCAACAGGGGATAATACCACCCTTTACACACGAGAACTGGTCTCCAAGGAATGGTCGTCAACCGACCATACAAGCTCCCTTCAATGCTCGCTACTTCCTTTCTCTGACCCCTTCTTCCTCGCTTACCATGATAAACGACCATTCGAGATCAAAAAATCCAATATTTAATAGCATTTTGCAACAAAGCCAATTTTGCCAAATTGTATAGATGCACTACTTTTGTCAACAAAGCTAATTACAGACACGAAGTTCTAGACTGCTGATAGAAAGACATAAGGAGCATTTTTTATTCAGAAATCATTGAATAAATAGACACCTTGAGATAATAACTGATATAGAAGACGATAAGTTATATTGAGGGTATCGAGGACAATCTACCCGACTCAACAGACTGGATTGAACAACTGATAATGATCGGTCCAAGAGGAGAGGTTCAATTTTCGAAATTTTTGATAAGATGACCCGAATGGGAAGAAATCCGGAAATGAAAAGACATCACGTGCTAAGAAGGAGCTGCATAAAGCGGTGAGGAAGGTGTAAGGGACAGACACGCAGGCTAACACGACACAAGACAGCCAATGCTTTCGGAAAAGAGTGAACGAAACAAATCAAGCTACACGAGTTGTGTTTGCGCTGAGCAAGCACAAACATGCGGGCAAACTATCCGACGAATCACTTTGTTTCACTTCTGCCATGCTTCAAGACGAGTGATAACGCTGCTATTGGAGAGCTAGAGATGTGTAGAGAAGACATGCCGAAGATGTGAAGCAGCGCAAACCTACAGAATGTACGGCAACGGACGTACAATGGAACTTTTCAGTGCCAGAATGGTTTTGTCACTTCGCTAAACGCAAGTCGTAAAAACGCAAGATTTGAAAAGTAAATCCTATTGATAATACTGTAAAGATCCAATAAAAAATCATAATGCGCTCTCACTTGTCGTGCAAACTGACAGAAAGACTCGAATAATCCTCTCAGTCGAGACTCACTGTACAAGCTCACTGAAAAGTAAGCAATAGTCGGGACTTACATGAGGACACTTGTAAAATAGAATAAACTAGCAACAACACTATGCACAATAAGGAAGATAAGACAGATAAATCACGAAATGGTACGCTATGAATTGAAATATTACTGAACGCACCTGTAATACACACAACCTAGCAATCGCAAACATGAGACGTCAAACGAGTATGAATACAAGAGATGAATAGTGCACAAAAAAGCTGAAATAGGCCGGTCACTCGCCGTTACCCTCGCGTTTGTTCGATGTAGAGGTTCCAGGTTCGTCGTCCCCAATGTTCTTGATAGCACCTTTATTGGCGGTAGAACTTCGATTCCGAGCATTACTTGCGATGAACCTTAACAATATAGTCAGCAGAACTCATTTCGACTACCGATATGAAGTCATTGGCATTCATAGGGCAGAAGTGAAGTAACCCAATTCGAGGACTGTAGCGAGTTTGTCTGAATGGAAAGACTATATGGACTGACTTCCTAAGAACCATGGGCGACCCTTTAGCTGGGATATATGAAAACAGAAAAATGTATGGAGCTTACGAAAACAACCAAACAGAAGAGCCTGGAAAACAAGGCGAAAACTAGGCACAACAAAGCACAGATTGAGTTCCTACCCCTCAAACTTGATCGCGCAACTGATCAAAAAAGTCGTATTATTACGTGCCCAAAAATAAGCTGAAAACCTGACTGTTCCCATCAGAGGACTTGGTCTCAGTGTTCCATCATCATCAATCACATATTCCGGAAGAGAGTAGAATGAAGACGATCGAGATAGGGGATGATCGTCAGGTGAGCCAGGCGGCGGTGTATCAGGCAATTGCAGAGCAGCACGCACTTCTTCCTCCTGCAAAAAACATAGTGACACAGAGACAATAAAGACACATGTAGAATTTACGCTATGGGTGTGAGAGGCGCTTTTGTTATATATCGTTTGACTATATTTACTTATATGTCTAAACAAAATGATAGTCATAGATAGTTAAATACTGCTAGAATTTTCTACACATTCAACTTGGAAGTGTCAAAAAGCTCCTAAAAACAATGGGAAAGAACTCGTACAGGAAAGGAATACTTCTTGAGCGTGGCAAGTCATAGTAAAGTGAATTATTGCTTCTACAAGTTTGCAGTCGGATAAATCACGAGTGTGGGAAATTTTTTACTTTTCACCCACTGACACCTTTTTTAAGATGCTGTTCTATTACATGAAACAGTATACACGTCCTATTACCTAAAAAAAACGAATTTCGATGCAGTTCATGACCTCATTCGAAAAAAAAAACGTTTCGCAGATAGTGTATACACATTTCAAGCTTACAGCGTCTGCTCATTAATCTGATCCAATAAGTTCACAAACACCATATGTCCTTCTCAAGAGTTCAAACATTTTGATTTTCTTCTGCACAGTCAGCTTTCTATTGATGATATACTGTTGTTGCCTGACGTTCGGCCAGAAGAATAATCGCAATCATATATCAAAATGCCTAGCTCACAAGAAAAGAAGAGTAAAAAAATTTGAAGCAATTAGAACCACTAGCAAGAAGTCATCAAATTTTCACAAATTCAAAACGAAAGGTACACCAAGATAGCTTTCGTAAAAAGTATGGAAAAAAAGTACGAAAAAAGAAGAAACATACGTGCTTTCGAAGAGTTTCCGGACTAGCAGTGGAATCTTGTAGCGACTCCAACAGCTTGTTCAGATACCTCTGTTTGACTTTATATTGTCTCATCATCTTGAGGCGGTGTTGCAAGCTGAAGGCCTTCATCCTGTTCACCTATAACATATAGCTTTAGTAAATAAGCCTTTCAAGATCCTGACCGTGGCATAGTTAGCACATTATTTCTACAAGCATACTTACTTGTCGTTCATAACTTTCCCACAGTTGCTCAGCTCGCCTAGAACCGTACTCTCTCACTCTCTGCATTTGCTGATTATAATTTTCCCGAATGTTCTCCAGATGAGAGGACATCTGTTCCATTTGAGCGACACGATAACCGCGGAATTTCTCAGCTTGCGAGCTGTAAGAAAGCCGCAGTGCTTCGACCTGAATGATATACGTAAGCATTTACGGCGCATACCATCCATCACGTACCTGCGCATGATAGTTTTCGCGAACTAATTGTAATTTTTTTGTATACTTATCATGAAGTCCTTCCATCTGCCGCGCACGATATTTCTCCATAGCTTCAACCATTTTGCGAACCCGGGATAATCGCTCTGCTCTGAAATCAAGTCGTTCTGACAAAACTTTTTTCGTATGCGCAGAGATGCTTCGCTAGTGAAACCACTTGTTTAACACAGGGTAAAAAACATTACAAAACCGCATGAGCAAAACTGTCAGAATGCTCTTGTTTCTCCAGATATATTCTCAACCATACACTGGAGAGCTGGGACACATTACCGAATTTGTGAGTTTTACTCTAGCAGGCAAAGCTGCTTCCGACTACTCCCTATCAACGAACTACCAAATATAGCTATGCATTCTTCGACAAGAATGAAGAATAACACAAAAACATTAGTCCACAGCAGTATGCAGTGAATGCACTTTAAATTCCTCAACGCAAGCAGCAACAACCTTGGAGAAAAAACTGCACTATTTATCGAAACCAATAAGAAAGAGTCCTACTAGCTTGATATGCGGCTATTTGGAAGGAAACTAACCGTTGTATCCACCATAGTATGCTCTTTCTCGTCAGGATCCAAGTAATGTTAAGTAGGAAAGAGAAGGAGCAAACAAGTACTGCTGTCGCTATACCACCCCAAAATACGCTGTTGAACAGGTCCAAAGAGTACCAGCTCGAGTAATCGAGCCTGAAAAGATATAAGTGGAACGACGAAAAGACAAACACGCAATGATTAGTGACTCAAATGGCCGTAAACAAAGTTATTCTGTTATATTAGCTGACTAGTCTGCGACTTAGGAGTGGGATATATGGTGAGCACTCACCTGAAACGGAATATTCTACTAACTGACTCCGAACCTTGTCGGGCTACACATACATATCGCTCAATGAATGAACGATTGACATCGTGAAGCAAAAGCGCACCTCCATTTAGTACAGTGCAACTGAAAGCACTTTTAAGCAGTGCAGATGGTAATGAAAGCTACGGGGACTTACCAACTATTCGTTGAGAGCGGCTGGACGTCTTCGGGATCGAACTTTCCTAAATATGTCGCAGGACGGTACAACCACCTGAAAAAGTTCAAAATTAAACTGCATAGTTTCGCAGTATGAGAATAAGGCAAGGGATGCAAGTAAAGAAACGAACCACTCAACAGCAGGTTGTGGCGAACCATACACAGTGCAAGGTAATACAGGCGACTGACCAAATAATGTTCGAACAATTTCGGGATTATGCTGCGATATTCCCAGAGTACAATTTTCTAGTTGTACGCTGAAAATTGACAAGGAGAAGATGTGGAAGATAAAAAAAACAAAGCAGCAGAGCCTAAATATAATGACATCCACATACATGGGAGCACACTGGGTTTGGTTGCTTAGAAGGCGAGCGACCGGTAATGACCATTGAAAAACGCAAGGATCACAGTCATAGTTCGATCCAGTTAAATTCAATACACGTAACGAAGATCTGAAACAAGTTTTCCAATCTTTTGCATGACGACATACGACATACCACACTTAAACAAACTAACTTCTCAAAAAATGATTGCGGAAGAGCAACAAGTTGTGTATTAGTGATTGACAGCTCTTTTGTTGATGCAGGAAGATGACCACTGACAAACTTTAATGGGATAGAATCATCCATAGTCATTCTGGAATGTAAGACGTGAAGCTGATGCGCATCATCACCAACAAAGTAGTCAATCGATGACCTTTGCAAATTTGGCGTATTCCACCGAGTAAAATCTACCACCTCCATGGAAGTCTGATCCAAGAACAATACCGCTAATTTTGGAGCATCAAGATCGGGAGATATTTGCAGTCTGACATCAGATAAGTCAAGCTGCTGTAGAGCTTTGAAACGGGGAAATGCAGCCTCTACCAAAGGATTGTGTGAAAGATCTAGAAAAAAGTTTAGATGAAAAAATGATCGGTCCTACAGTGGAGCGAACAATTTGTGTAGATAACACAAAAATAAAACGGACATGATGATTCGAATCAAATTCTTACTTAATCGAAGCAGGTCTCCGTGTAAGCCTGAAGTTGATGTAAGAGTATTTCCCGAAAGATCAAGGTTCCGCACGTAACGATGGAATGTACCATTGATGAAGTTAATCTAAAACAAGAAACATCAAAGTCTACAGCTTGAGCAAAGAGATATGTGCTCACTTGATTGCTAGAGAGATTCAATGTTCTTGCAGCTACATTTTGAACACATGGTGGGAGGTAGGTAAAGTGATTTTCGTTCAATGAAAGGTGTACAAGTGCAGGCAGGTTGCGAGTAATATTACAAATCTGAAACGTAAAGTATATCGAGTGTTCAAAGTCAACAAGATGACAACTTACCTCTTTAAACTCTTCAAATGAATTTTTGCTCAAGTCAAGATGTGTTATGGACCGAAGAGGAAGGGCGAGGTGAATGGATTGAGCTTCGCCTTCTGTAAATAGGATTCACTACAAGTGTCTCTGGAGAAAATTGGATCTACTGCTGATTACAGACCGCAGCTATGATTGAAAAAAACCAGTCAAGTTGCAAGACTTATGGCGCTTTCCCTATGCACCAAAGAGACATACTTTCTCCATTTACTTCGTATGATAGTTGAGTAGCGTAAAACAGATTAAACAGGCAATTTTTGTAAAATTGTGCAGGCAATTTTTGTAGAATAAGTCAGCCGGTATCCGCCATGCATGCGCTTTTGAGGTTCAAAATTTGCAAGATGAGCGCAACAAAACAAGATTATGAATGTAACAGGGATGCTAAGATCAGATCTGCTTACCTATTATGTACAGCTCAGAAAGAAACTGCAGAGGATAGAAATCATCAAGGTTGATGCTGTCCTCTGTCCATTCTGCTATATGTAAAAAACGCACACTTGGGTATTGCTCCGCAAGCAATGTGATAGCTTTCGGGCCTATAAAAACTTCTTCTTCACTTCAAAAGTAAAGAAAACACAATACAACGCACCAATATAGCGGCATTCCACTCGGGTCACGTTACCATCGATGCATTGACATCCAGGAACCACTGGGCATGGATTCGATGAAAATTCGAGTACAGGCGATGACGATCTAAGGGGAAAGGGGCAGATATTACACTGACATGATTGAACACACCTTTGTATGGGCGGCGAAAGGGTGTTGCCGAATGCGCCTAATAGAAACCATATCAGGAAGTATAATAATGGTGTAGAACCTGCCGAAAAGAGCGAAAATGGCACATGTGGAAAACAACCACTGATCATGCCAAATTACTCTACTTCCGGCTCATATACATGTGATCTGCAAACGAGAGGTTGAGTGGGTGAAGTAAGAAATTAGATTTACAATCATAATTAGGTAGCGAGCGTCAGAACGAGTAAGAAAAAAAAACAACAGCAGCAGCATAGTATATAAATTTTATTATCCGAAACAATCAAAAACATATACAACAATCACTATTAACTACACTTTTCTATTTGCATCTTTTTGCTTTCCTATGTGGAACTCGCTGATTTCCTGTGTTGTATCGCTTGATATAGTACCAAGTTCCATCTTCAATTTTCTCTTTCAGCCTATACATATCCATATCATCGTTCCAGTACCTGAAATAAGAGAATCCGATCAACCTGTTTGATCAAACGATCAAAGAAATAAACCTATTGAATCGTTTATAACCAGATCTGTCGAAGTCGGGCACAGTCCGATCTGGGAAAAGCCCTGCCCAGTGCGCTTGCATAACACATCTAGAAAACTGCTTTGAATCTTTACGAAATATAGAGGTGGTCACCTACCTTTCTAATCGTAACTGCTGTCTCTTACATAAACCAGTTAGCTGGCGAGGGAGAACTGTGCCATCTTCTCGCATGAATTGTTCGAGGATGAGCACGTCACTTAAAGCAACCACATCAACATTACAGTTTGTCAATACCGAATAGCTATGATCAGAAACGAGATACAAGTAAGGATTTCCATCAGCAGTGGAACTTTTGGAGAATAGAGATTTTAAGGAACGGCTGCAGGTATATGTGAGACACCGGCCAAACATCGCTCAAAAGTGCCCAAAAGCGCTCAAAAACGCTCAAAGTTCGCTAGCCCCTCTCTTCACTTTCTCTCATCTCTCACACGAGAAAGTGAAGAGAAATCAGAGAAATTTGGGAGCTTTTGGGCGCTGTTAGGCGCCTTTGGGCGGTTTTAGATGCCTTTGGGCGAAGTCCGGCCGCGGCCTGAGTGGTCAATACTAAGAACTGCCACTTCTCGTCGAAATTTCCTAGAAGTGGTAAGTAAACAATGAAACGATCTCAAGGCCCAAAGTACATTAGAAGACCAAAGACCAATATACCAGTGTAAAGCAATGCTGAAACCAACTGATCCTACAATCACGATGAGTCAATAATTTGGTTTGTATTATTTAGTATAAAAGAAAAGCACCTATTAAGAAAATAAAAAGTATCCTTGATAACAAATGCGCGTATATATACGTCACATAGCATGTATGCAGATCGTTGCCTCGATACTCTACAAGCTTTTAAGAAACTTCACCACTCAGGAAGGAGAAAAAAAACGTGAATCGATCGAGAAGAAGCTATGAACGCACCTGTAGGACAATTTTGCAGGAAGGTTGCACGTACACAGCGCGCAGTGAGAGCTCGAAGGACGTGCGGGTTCTTTGACTTCTTCCATACCCACGTACGTTGTGTCATCTTTGACCTTTTCCGTGACTATAACAGATGCGCATCAAGATGGTAAGGGAGACGTAAATGCGAAAATTTCAAAAACTAAAACTGCATACATCTCGCATATCTGTTAATGAGCATGACTGAGGCTAGCATAGATCTACGAAGCAAATCAACATACACTATCTATCTTCAAGATGACTTGTCTATGAGAATACATTAATGAACAGCTCTTATTTCTGCTGATTTAATGCGGCTTGCTTCGAGTGCAAGACGACGTTACAGTCTTCACATTTATGAGGTAAAAACTGCAATATGTACATTAATCTTGAAGGCAATGCCCGGCAGAATTTCGTTTTCCAATTTTTCACCCTTTCGGAGCCTTCCCGTCAAAAAGAAGCGCATGAAAGTGGCGAAAATGAGTTTATTTCGAATCTTTTCCAGACCCGCAATGTGAAGAATACGTGTAAGTGGGCGGGCCCGGAACGAGGGAGGCGGGGCAGAACACTTACGTCGTATAATCGCTGAATGCGGACTTGGAGAGCTTTGAAAAAGCTCATTTTAGCCATTTTCGTCCGTTGCAAAGCGCACATATGGATTCCTTACGGCGAGAAGGCTCCGAAAAGGTGTAAAAATGGAAAACGAAATTCTGCCGAGACACTGCCTAGAACATTTGTACGTAAACTGATAATGCTTTTGTTCCCTTATGGAAAAAATGAGTATATATTGTGTTATTGTGTTACTTTTACAAGATCTGATGAATCTTTGACACCAAATGGTAAAGTTCTAAGAAGAGAAAGCTTCTCCAAAATCAAACGTTCTCCACAGCTTAAATGGACAAACGGTATAGCCCATTGCGCTTTTTTTTACCTCGCCAGCCATTCTGAGGAGTCTCAGCATGAAGGTGGGGAAGGAGAAAGGGGAGGGGGAGGAGGAGGACGGGGAGTTGAGCCCAACTACCGTTTCCATCAAAGGTTGTTCAATTGCGCAAGAGGGTGTCTTGTGTGAAACCTGAGGAAGGGGCCTCAAATAATAAACTGCTCGCGGAAGCGCAAATGATTCAATGTCCAACAAGAATCCACTTCAAAGCTGTCCACCAACAATATCAGACCGTACCTAGGACCGCTAATGATGGGTCCGGACGCAAAGCGTACGAAACAAAGCCATCTTTAGCGTGATACGGCATAGAGCGGGTGGTGCAGGGTTTTAGTAGTGGGTTTCTTGCCGATGAACGAATCATTTAAGCTGCCGGCTATGCAGTGGAGATGAAGAAGTCTTGAGAAACCTGCCATACTTCGCCGAAAGAAGCCCAAAAAGCCCGAAGAAGCCCGAAAGAGCCGAAACGCCCCTTCCGTTTTGACGCCAAAGCATGTGTGTTGATTTTGCAACCGAGTCTTTTTGCTTCATTGAGTAGAATGAGTGTGTACTGAATGAGATATAATGAGATCAGGAAAACGAAAGTTTAAATGAATGAATTTGTGAATTTCACACACGACCGGTTTCGGGCCCAAGAACTAGACCGGTAGTGTAGCTTTCTTGGTGGCCCATCATCAGTAGTTTTTTTGTTTCTGTCATTTTTGTTTTCATTCTTTCATTTGTCATTCATCATTTTCTGTCGTCTGCACATCAAACTAATGTCAGAATTCTATCAAAACTTCGTTTCTGCGTTCGGGCTTTTTACGGCTTTTTCGGGCTTTTTTGGGCGCTTTTGGCTTTTCTCGGCAAAGTATAACGGAGTCCCTGGGAGTTCCCTTCATTTCTGCAAGACTAACGTGCCCGGATTAATCCGACTCTGAGTTTTCACCACGTCTGATATTAGATGGTGCCTTGTCCGAAAGGGAACGTTGCCTGCTATTTGAATATAGTAGTTGCTCCCATGTTCAGCTCTACAATAGATGACGAGTTCTGCCGTAAGCTAGCAGTACTCCTTGGAACTTCCTCCGTTTATCTACTATTTTGGGCTATGTGGACCGGTGCAGGCAAAAAATTGCGCATCACTGCAGCAATTTGAATGAAAAGGATCAATACAAATAACCTGCTCTAGTACTACAGAGAATCTATCATCGAAAATGGAGGTGAAGCAGAAGAGATTGGAAAGATGGGATGATGAAAGATGGTGAATGCGCTAATCAAGGGGATGGAGCTTCTCTCCGCCGCAGCTTTTTTGCTCTATGCCTTCGACACAAAAAAAACGCCATCACTTATATGGGACAGCGATTCCTAAAGCTCGCTCAACCACGTGCCTGAGAGCACAAAACTTCGCGACCCAAAGAAAAACACAAAAGAGTCAAAGATGATGTATGAACTGTAAGAAGCTTATAGACTTACATTTCCATTTTAAAGCTGTAGATGAAGTGGAAAGAGGACGCAAAGCTGCGCACAGCTGATGGGCACTTCCCCTACTGCTGAGCAGCCGCCGCAGCACCGCAGACATCGCTGAAACATTGCTGAGAAGGTTAGGATGATCACGCAAACTCAAACTATGAATAACTAATCAATCTAGTCATGCGGAGTGAAGAGGCTCAGCGCCGACAACGATGGTGGTCGCAGCTGCAGACTTCGTCGTCGTGACGTCATCTTGTGTTGACGCATACCCCTCGCGCAGAATTTGTTCAGTAGACACTTTAAGTCCTCATCTTTTGATTACTTGTTTTCTAGCAATCACTTGAGGATACAGAAAAGCAGTATTTTCATTCTACGTGCATTCTTTGAGTGATGTTTATTTACCCAAGTCCGCAAATTTCACTATTCATACGCTACATTTTGCCAATTCAGAGTCATCAAGCATGAGGGATGTGCCTGTGCAACACTGGAACATGGGTATTGGCCCAATAACTTGTCACGCTTGGAACAAGGACCGAACTCGTAAGTCAAAATATAACGATATCTTTTTTCTTTCTTTGGAATTTCGCGTTTTTTTACACTGACATATTTATCAACATAGCTAATACCTAAACATGCTACAACCTGGTGCACTGTTTCAATTTGATGTCTTTAATAGGGCTACTATCGTCATTTGGTAAAACTTTGGGAGTTTGCAGGATGCAATGAAGTCCTCGAAATGGAGCTTACAAGGGAAGGATATCAAGATTAGTCGGCGATTGAAGATGAGATGTATATCAGTAGACGAGCCTTAAAACGCTGATTCCAAATCTGCTTTACTTTTTTGTGGAACAAGTTTTCGAAAGAAGTTGTGAGCGTTTGTAGTCCAAACTTGCAAGGTTTAGGTGGCCTAAAATTGGCGAAAAGCTATACAAAAACATCGAAAAGTGGAAAATCAATTTTGTAATGAGTATATTGTTTGCAAGGAAGGAAAAAAGCCGGTGAAAATCGCATAGGTATTGTTTTGGAGCTTTTCGTTGAATTTAAGTCACTCAGTGCTTGGCAAATTTGGATATTCAAACGCTCATAACTTCTTCCGCAAACCTATTCCGCAAAAAAGGAAAACAGATTTGGAATCAGCATTCAAAGACGCGTTTAACGATATACATTCCATCTTCAATCGCCGACTAATGTTGGTATCCTTTCCTTATTGATGTGTTACATGTGTGCTAATTCATCCTTTGGAAGTTGGACTTTGAACTTCCCCCCAGACCGTACTTTTTTCTCGTTAACCATTTAGCAACCTTATTCAGGACATCATGTAGAACCTCTACATTTCAGAAGTAGCAGTTTCCGCGTCGAGCAACGAGATCCATATTTTTGCATGGAAGAATGGGGACTGGGTGAACACCGCTACTCTCGCTGAGCACGACTTGCCAGTGACAGGCTTGGATTGGGCTCCAAATACAAATCGCATCGTGTCATGCTCAAGGGACAAAAATGCGTTTGTCTGGACCTATGAGTCAGATAAAGGTACTTGGAAGCCTGAGCTGGTTCTGGTCAGTTCCCTTCAAAATTTGAAGCAAACTTTTTTAGATCTTTTCTTAGTTACTTTGATTATCTGTTATCAATTCTGATTCCCATGGTTTTTATCAAACTTCTGCATTGTAGGTGCGATTCCAACGAGCTGCTACATGCGTCAAATGGTCACCAGCAGAAAACAAATTTGCTGTTGGCAGTGGTTCAAAATTGGTTTCCGTCTGTTACTATGAACGAGAAAATGACTGGTAAATTTTTTGTATAAACGAAACATGTTCTCCATTGCGCTTTTTTTTTCACTTCCAGGTGGGTTGCAAAGCAGATCAGGAAGCCAATCCGCTCAACTGTCAACTGCATAGACTGGCATCCAAATAATGTGCTTCTTGCAGTCGGCGCATGTGATTTTCGTGCACGGGTTTTTTCAGCATGGGTGAAAGAGGTGAGATTGCGTATCTGGGTTTATCCTGATTTTTTTATATTCAGATGTACTTTTTTTCCTTAAGTGCTATAATTTTCATTTTTTGCGTCAAAGAATTGAACTGATATTATCATTGAATTATTATTTTCATATTAATACATTACCATAATCTCTGTTCTGGCCTTTGCAATAGGAAAGATACATAATCAAAATCTACTGCTTTGTCTGAAAGTCAGCTGCGCGCTACCTACTAACATCGAAGGCTGTGGGATTCGATCTTGTTTTCTTATCAGGCAATAAAGATGTTGAAAAATTCTAGGTGGATGAGAAACCATCACCCAATCCATGGGGATCCAAAATGCCATTCGGGCAGCTGATGGCCGAATTCCCAGTATCCGGATGGGTTCATCACGTTGCTTTCTCGCCTTCCGGTTGCCGTTTGGCTTTCGTTGCTCATGACTCATCTATCTCATATGTAGATGCCAATCAGGTTTGTACTCATTTGATATTTTTTCGTTTTTTTTTAAACAGCATTACCACCAATCGGAATGTTAGGACAACACTGTTGCACACACCTTGCGAACTACTTGCTTACCGTTCACATCTGCCGAATGGGTGACCGAAAACAGCATCGTAGCAGCAGTAAGTTCTCAGATGTCATTTTTATTTGAGCTCACACTTTGCCATGTTTACAGGGTCACGATTGCTCGCCTATTTTGTATACAATAGCTGATGGTAATTTGAAAGAGGTTTGTAAGCTGGATATTCCATCTGAGCAGCGTGCGTCCTCTGTTAATAGCGCATTGCAAATGTTCCGGAACATAGATAGGTGAGTGATGTGTGTTTTTCTTAAATCTATTTATTGCAACTGCATTATCCCGGATATTTTTCCTGTACGGGTTTGCTGTTTTTTTGAGTCTCCGCAGCTTCCAGTTCAAGGGTCGTCTTTTTTCTGTCATAGGTTTCGTTGAATCCTCTTTGTTTTTATCTCACCTTCTTTATTGAGGTCTTTTCTCGCTAATCTACTGATTTGCTAGATTTAGTATTGCGGCCTTCCTAGTACGTCCATGATTTAATTTGTATTTGTAATTTTTTTTACAGAAACGCTGCTTCCGAACAAGTAAATGTTCAGCTGAAAACACTGCACCAAAACATGATCACGTAAGTATCGTAAAGACTATATTCTTTCCGCTCTATCACCATTTTAGGCAAATATTGCCTCATTCTGGCAATAAGAATAATGTGATAAAGTTCACCACATGCGGAACAGACGGATTGATCGCCTTGTGGGATCTAAAGGTATCAATTGTGTTTGGTTATTAAGTGTTTTGCATAATCCATAATTGTCATCTTAAGCCATTGCGAAATAATCTCAAGACTTTCGACTTTATTTGCAAAACATGTCTTCAAAACTTTCTTGCAAATTACCATACCCAGTTAATCAAATGAATTAATTACATATGTTTTTCAAAATTAAGGATTCGATCGAATATTGTCGGGTAAGTTGGTGTGTTATAACTTTGCTTTTCTCAGACGCATGGTTTTTTCAAGGTCCAGTTGAATATATGTACTAAGAATGTTAACGAGTTTGAAATTGATAGTTAAAGCGTGTTTTCAAAGCATGATAATGCGTGACGCTGGTTACATCAGCCGATTTACACTATAAAATTGTATGTTCCAGAATAACGCAGCTGTAGTCCACTGATTGTTCTACCCGTCGTTACCTGGCTCCAGAATGAATTCCGACACTACTGCTTTATACATTCATTATGCGTCTTGATGCAATTGTAAATGATGTGCTTTTCTTATGTGTCTTTACAGAACTAATAAATTATTGATAGTCTAATTTTTGTCTATGTAATCGGATGGTCGTAATTTGGCGAGTCTTATCAGCTTCAGTTTGAACAGCTAAAAAATGTGCGATGGTTTTTTTTTGAAAACAATCATAATTGAGTTTCTTATAGGATAGTCAATTTGACAATTCAAATGATTACCCAAGTTTGAGATGTGTACATCGTCGGATCAGGCCACGTTTTCCGTTAGTTTGTGGGTTCATCTGAGTAGGAAAGGACTTCCTGTTTAAAAGATGGTCAAGGATCGTCTGAACGAGTTCCAGACTCTCTCAGGGAAAACGAGCTCGACTTATCACAAACATGATCGCCGCTTATCAACAGAGACATCCAAGCTTTTACAAGAGGACAATTCGCTAGAGGGCTTCCTAAGCCGTATGACTGAACTGCAGAACATCGTGGGTCAGTTGGAGTCATGGTTGGAAGAGATACGCGTACTACATGGAGAGCTTTTGCTCGCACCAGCCTCTGATGGAGAGAAGTCACAACATTTGCGAATCATCATGGAGAACCTTCGCACAACGTCTTTAGTTGCACGACAAAAGATAAAGAACATAGACAAGGAAGTAAACAGCAAATTGCATTCCGACGAGTCGAAATCGGTGGATTCTCGCATTAAACGAAACCAAGTTCACACGCTCACACGAGCCCTTCACAGTGTGATGTGGAAGTTCAATGAAGAAGAGGAGAATTATAAAGAACGCTGCAAGAAGAAAATAATTGATTATCTAAAGATCCAAGACATCAAGTTGACGGATGACGAAATAAGCGATGCTATTGACAACGGCGATATCTTCGAAAAGACGAAAAGTATCCTTCTTGCATGCAGCGACAAAAAAGCACTCTTCGAGGACATCAAATCGCGACGTGATGAATTGATTGAAATCGAGAAAGTCACCCGAGAATTGGGTGAGATGTTTGTAGATCTCAGCAATCTTGTAGTGAGTCAGGGAGAAATGCTTGACCGGATTGAGGTGAATACCGAAAATGCGGTAGATTATGCGGAGAAAGCGAAGCAGAATGTCAAGGATGCTCGAGAGCACAAGAAGAAAGCACGAAAGAAGAAGATCATAGTTTGCATAGTTCTCGCCATACTGGTTCTCATTTTAATTATCTTCATACAAGCGATGATATGTCATTTCACACCGATTTGCTAGTTGCTCCATATTTTCACTTTGAAGATTTGTTCTTTCAAAGAATTCACCGGTAATACAAAAGATGGAATGGGCTTGTACGAAGGAGATCTGCGAAAAGAAAAAAGAACAAAATCCAAATTTGTCAGTTCTCAACATTTTTTAGGCCTCAAAGTCCCGAATCGTGGAAATTTCAACAGCTTAATTTTTGCAAAAACTGTCAACAGAAGGCTTATCCTCATGCTTACAGAAATGAACAAATTGACGATGCCTTCTAAAAAGGAGATTTATGGACCACACAATAATCAAAACGACTACCCATGTTGAGGCGCCGATATTTCAGTCTGTACGATTTTTAAGAAAATAGTAAAGTGTGCATTAATGTAGACTATTTTTATTATATACAGTAGCTGGATCTTTACAAGAATGCCGTCTTCGCGTTTGAACTTTGGCCAGAAAAGTAAATGCAAAATTTGGATCCGGATGCTGTTGTTTGAAGCTCTGTAAATGTTAAAGTCAGCGTCCAGGCAAATCTGGACATACGGGGTTCTAATGTGGAAAGTAATTTTGGGGCCTGACTAAGACACTGCCCAAGCGGCAGCTCAAATGGTGAGCTCACAGTTGAGATATTCGCCTCCAAACTGGACCCCGGGATCGTCGCATGGATTGATGGCGCGACACGCGTGGTCCTCGCGCACAACTGATGTGTCGCGCCATGAATCCATGCAAACGATCCCCGGGTCCAGTTTGGAGGCAAATATCTCAACTGTAAGCTGGTAAGCTCACCATTTGAGCTGCCGCTTGGGCAGTGTTTTAGTTAGGGCCCCAAGATCGCCCTCCAAGTGAGATCCTCATAGGCCCAAATTTGCCTGGATGCTGCCTTCAAATGAATTAGGATAAAAGCCCCTTTCAGCCATCCCAGATAGAGCATGAAAAGACCTCAATAGTATGCAAAGTCTTCTCTGAAGAAAAAAGTTTGGTGGAAAAAAAGTTGTCTTTAAAGAAGGCCTAGAAAAACGCTCGTGAAAAAAATTGTCCTGAAAGAAGGCTTAGGAAAACGCTCGCTATTTTTGCAGCAACTTAATTTTATATTAGGTTGATGCAGAAATAATGTCCGTTCTGCACAGTTCATTTCAAATATTAGCAATAATTTTGTCCAGTCTTCATATTTCTTAATGCACAAAAGACCATCAGAAGCAGTATGGATATCGCAAACGGGAAGAAACCATGCGTCAAGAGAATGTTTTTTTTTCAAAATCTTGTTTTGAGAGAGGTACAGTTACTAGTCCCCTCAGGTTCCCAGAGTTACAATCCCCTTCAAGTGTTGACCCTAAGACCTCGGGCAGAGTTCACGCGATTTGATTATTGCGATTCAATCGCTACAAGACAAGTGTTACGAATTTATTGCATGCCGATCCTCTTGTATTTCGGTTGTGGTAGTTAGTTACAAATAGTCGTGTCGGAAAACTATCACAACCGAAATGGAAGAAGATCGGCATGCAATGATATTGTTACAGTTGTCTTGTCGCGATCAATCGCGACGATCAAATCGCGTGAACTCTGCCCGAGGCCTAAGGCTGATGATCAGCTTGTTTGTAGCTGCAAGACGGTGGCGGGTGTATAGAAAAGAGTGTGAAGGAATTCTGCAAAAGAATAGATAAATTTCTAAAATTGTTCACTTCTTTGAGCCTATTTGTGGCGGGCCTGAAATTTCATATTATGGTTTTTTGGAGTACTACAAGTAGCTAAGTTCTTCTGCAAAGATTGTAGGAGAGACCTCCGAAACTTCAGCGATTGCCTCAATCATGAGGAGTTTTCGATCCATAGATTGCCAACAGCAGGTATCTATCTTGGGACATCGATTTTCCAGTCCTGATCAATTTCAAAAATCTGCTTGAGCATGCAATGATCATCTCATACATCAGTCAAAAGGATTCGTTTATCTGCGCCTGAACTTTGGCCAAGAAAGTGAAAGCTATGAAATCTCGATTTTGAGTGCAGCTGTGATCAAATTCTCACAGATGAGGATAGAAACCCAATCGCACACTATTGGAAAGTGCAAAAAGAAAGCTTTTCAATTATATTTATTTTCTTATTTGTTTATTTTTGATGCACCTGGAAGGGCGCCGAAAAAAAGGAACACAAACAAATGGGGGTACCAGCTAGTCTAAAAACTCAGGCAGATAAAAAAGACATGGAAGAAAACAAATACAAATCAAAACATTGTAGATCACTAAACTATAAATCAGTATTAGCTTGTCAAATGACATACGAAGTCACAGAATAAGTCCTAAAACCTCGCTTCCTCTAAAAATTGTAGTGCACCCCTTTTTTTTTGCTAGCGAGCCTGCGGGCGAAGGATAGCTGACTAGGCCCAAACAAGTTCCGAAACACAGAATCGAATAATATACATTGGGAATTCATTTTCGGATAGGAATGTTTATGAGAAGATGTAGTCGGGATGCTATCTGGTGCGTTTTGTTATCTATATATGTTTTACTATTTTTATTTTTATTTTCTTACATGTATTTCTGCACCAACCTAATAGTTCACTCAGGTATCATAGTTCAAAGTAATTGGTGCAAGGGCGAAGAAATGCAGATGTTTTCTCCAAAGATACACAAGTTTTTAGGATAAAAATGCAATTCTGTAGATGAGCAGTTAGGGCACAGTAAGGGCTTCATTGGACTTGTCTTTATTCATATTATAAACAATGTCGCTTTGTTTCTTTCCATCTCGCCAAAGCCGAACGTTACTTCTCCCAATTCGGCCATTCTGAAATCATGATTTCTTGTGTAAGAAGAAGAAAACGGCAATTGAATGACACCAAACTTTTATGACAGTCGCTTTGCTGCAACAGGAAGATTTTGGATTTTTACCTAAACGTAACTTCTGCACTCAGTTTCACATGTCAGTGGGTACTTTGCTTCCTAAGATTTTTCGCGATAGATTCGATCTTTCTGAGCACTGAGTATGCGCACCGCTCAATCTTCGTTCACCTCAACAACAATATCGCGACGCATCGAGAATTTTTTTTCCTCAGAGTATGAAAAGCAAATACAGGGTGTCCCGAAAAATGTGAACATTTTTGATCGCAAATAACTCTCTTGTCATGGAGTAGTTTGAGGTATCATTTTGGAGCTGCCTTCACCTTAGATTTACAGTATGGAGCGAATCATCAGTCGCTCTTCTTGACTGCAGGATCACGGCAGGAACTTTGCGAAGGATTTTTGGGATAAAAGCGGTTTCTGTCTCAGAAGGAAAACCAAACAAGCCAAAAACTATCGAACTGGACTAGTCGATGTCGCTGATTCCAAATATTAGGTCGTTTCAAAAGTAATTTCGCTTTTTTCAAACGGGCGCCACATTTAATGGAACAAATCTTTCTGAGAGATTTTGATAGCATTCGATGCAGCATTTCATCCTCTTTCTAATAATCATGTAATTGTTGCAAAACAGTCAATGAGCTTTCAGAAAATAACCAAAATCTGCTTCCTATCTTTGAGATGGTCGAGTTTCACAATTTTTCTAAACTTTTATATCAACCCTCCGAAGAAGCGAAAGTAATGCATCTATAAAGCAAACCTTACAGGATGCAAAACAATTTTTTTCTCCTTTCCATAGCTTGTCGTTCATTCTTTAACAGAATTTTAGCTGATGCTACCGATTTCCGTACTTGAACAGTTAAAGGCAGCGTCCAGGCAGATCTGGACCCATGGAGCTTTTACGTGGAAAGTACTTTTGGGGCCCTAACTAAGGCACTGCCCAAGCGGCAGCTCAGGTAGTGCTCTATTGGCTGAGATATTCCCCTCGAAACTGGCCCCGCGAACGTATTCGCATGGATTCATGGCAGTTTTGCGCCAGGATCCACGCTTTGCGCCATGAATCCATGCGAAACACGGTCGCGGGGTCCAGTTTCGAGGGGAATATCTCAGCTACAGCACTACCTGAGCTGCCGCTTGGGCAGTGCCTTAGTTAGGGCCCCAAAAGTACTTTCCACGTAAAAGCCCCATAATTCCAGATCTGCCTGGACGCTGCCTTTAAATCATCAAACATCAAATGGTGAGCAGCTCGGGTGTCATTCGATACAGCTTGTTCTCCTCTTTCTAAGGGATGCTTTTTGTTTCCGATTCGTTCAGTCTTCGGAACTAATTTTTCATAACTCATTTTTCCAACGAGCCCTAGGCTGTGCCCGTAAAACTCGAAATTTGATATTTCGAATCCGTGAATTTTCACTTGCTTTGTAAAATTATTGCTAACTCATAGTACCATCTTGTTAGTCTTAAATTCCGAATAATTATGATGTTTGATGCGATTGTGGCTTATGTAGGTCTGCCAAATTCCTATGGCTTTGTTGAAAAAATCTTATAAAAAATTATCGCGAGCTTTAAAAAAGGGAAAAAAGTTGTACTGTATTCTATGAGCTTTGCTCTATCGAATTCTTACTTGATATCCTTCCGAGAATTGATATGAAAGTTTTAAAAAATCGTGAAACTTGACTATCTCAAAGCATAGGTCGCAGATTTTGGTTATTTTCTGAAAGCTCGTTGACTGTTTTGCAACTTTCATAATTATTAGAAAGAGGATGAAATGCTGCATAATGCTACCAAGATCTCTCAGAAAGCTTTGTTCCATCAAATGTGGCGCCCTTTTGAAAAAAAGCGAAATTACTTTTGAAATGACCTAATATAACACGTTTACACTCATTGTAATGCTTCTTTTATAAGTTATCTCGGGTTTAGGGTAAAATCTATTTTTCCACTGCCCTTCGGAAGTGCGTTTATACCATTAAAAAAGCTCGAAAAACTGGTAGAAAGTTGCGTAAAGTCGGCACTTTCAAAAACCTCGCTACAAAAATCCAGATTTTTTGAAACTTTTTAAATCAAAAGCCTATTCCCACAGTGGCGCTGTATGCTGAAAGTTCATACCGTAATCTTACAGCAATGAAGAATGATTAACGATTCGCTCCATACTTTGAATCTAAGTTGAATCTCGCTCTAGAATGGTGCCTCAGACTTCGAAAG